TTGTGAGAAGAAGTCCTGCGACCCCGATGAACCTGTGTTAAGCTTTCATCTATACTGTGACAGAAATAATCTGAAGAAGATTAGGAGGAACGAGTGTATAAAATTGAGTAGAAACTATTTGGAGATGTTGGAAAGGCTTAAGGAGAGGGAGAGAGAAGAGGAACAGGAAAAGCCACTGAGCAAGAGAAGTAGGCTTGATTTAACTCAAGTCTAGCTAGGATTATCACATCTCTCATGGCATCAACAAACCACACATAGAATAGAAAATAACGCATACCAAAACATGAGTCAACATTAGAGGATGGAATGCTTGTTTATTTAGAAAGGAAACAGCTGCTACCGAATCTACTTTCGGTTCCAGAATCAACTTCACTTATCTGCAATCATTTAGAGCATGCTTGAGGTAGCCATATAAATCATGGGATGCCTCATTTAGATCGCAAGATCAAGTATTTAAATAAGTGACTAGTGTTGCAGCCACGAACATTTTCTTTTTATTTGTTATAATGTTGCTCTATTTCGTGAAGTACGAATTCTTGCTCTTATGATGTCTGCCATATTGCAGACAAAAGTTTAGCACAGGTTCATGGAGTTCGCCGGACGGTGAGCCGAGGACTTCTTCGCACAATCCATCAATCTTCACTCCGCAACAGTCCTCTTTTGGTTTCAGATGAGACAATTTTACGAATTCCTTCCAAACAGTCTTCATTTCGAAATGGAAATGCATTTCAAAATATAGCATTAAGGAATTTTTCGAAATCCAGTTTTTCTTCTTCTCTTCTTCTTAATCTTCTTTGTCTTTATTCTTCCGTATATTTTGAAAACAATTTGAACAAGTTTCCCAACGAATATTATTATTTTCTTTCTCTAATGACCTGTACTATATAATTTTATCTAATTTCACCTGAAAAAACCTAAGCAATAAATTAAATGATGGTCATTTCATAATTGTCTGTAGCTTACCCTGTTGGATAAACAGTGTGCAAACAAATTAGGAGGATAAAATTAACCCCATAAAAGTTCAATTAAACTCAAATTGCTTATATGATTCTTAATATTTCGCTTACAATTAACAGCTGTCGCGCCAGAAACACCCCATCCACGGTTCCGGTAATGAGAACCGCAGTCGGTCTTTGCACCGAGGAATTTGAAGGAGGCGTGTAAACAGTACAATGTTGATGAGATATGATTCCACTGAGATCTGGTCCTTGGTAGAGCATACGAGAACGATCCTCTTTAGGAAGGGCAGCCATATGTCCAGAAGCGATGATATTCGTATCAGTCGCTTGAAAGTCATTATTGGACGTTGAATTAGCCATTCTACTAAGCCTCGAAAAAGAGAAGTCACTGAGGCCTTCATTATACAAGGTTCCAGGTGACCCAGAGTAAGCCTTCGTTCTCATCGATAAAACTGACGAAAGAGAGTTTAAACCATAGCTTTGCTTAAGATCGACGGGCCCATTATTACTAAGTCGACGACTTTGATCAAGTTTCTCTGTGGAGAAACCGGAAGTCGAGATGAAAGTAAGATTGTCCTTTAATTCCTCTGCTTGGAGGCGCTGATTGTCGATAGGAAAGATCACCTGGGCCCCAGTAGCCTGGAGGATCATATGTGCCATGTTTCCAGGAGACTTCTGACTAAGCATAAATGTTTGATGCTTCTGGTCAATATCGATAGTCATTGTCACCTGCACAAGGTGCTAAAATCAGAAATAACCAAGTAATTAAATACATTGTAGCTAACTGTATGAACCAGAAATTCTATTCGCGGTTAGGTTGAATAGTATCCAGCTGTGGTCTCAAAATAAGAAGTTTTTTTCAATTTAGCAGAATTATAAAATAGTGATATAAATTTTGATTCAATAATAGCTTAAGATTTAGCCGGAGGCTTTGCCCTTGCCGACATAAGTAGTTCGCAGTCTAAATTTCAAAATTTCACTGACTTAAGTGTACTACTTTACTTTAACCTAATAATAAATTAGCTGCACAAACACAAATAGATCCTTGGACGCGATACTAAATCTATCCCCACATCTCTATAGTCGTTCCATTTAAAATATCTCTTGACCTCTGTGGCATGACTCTTCAGCCAAATCAACTAGGTGTAGATTTAGCAACTCACATTGATAACTTTTCTATTCAGATCTCTCCTCTTTAGCACAGTTGGCCTTTAAGCCGAGCAACTCCGTTCTTCATGGCTGGGCTTGCTTTATTTTCTTTGATAGTTGAAACAATTCATCTCTCTGACCTAATCCTACATCAAAAAGCAGATTTCCCAGGATAAGTACTGTTATCAAAACCA